TAACACTTGAATTTTGAACAATAACACAATAATATTCTGCGGCATAACTCTTAAATTTTGCTAAATAACACGCCAAGAATTCGTAATAACACATGTATTCTCAATATAACGTGTATATATTGCAGTATAACACGATTATTTAAAAAATAATGTGGTTTAATTGAAGTATAACACAAGATTTTTGATAAATAACGCGTTATTATATACCGTGGCGGCGGAATAACATATATATGTGTTATATTACGGTAGTATAACACATAGTATAACACATGAGGAATATTCCCCATGTGTTACACTGTGGTAACACATGGGGAATATTCCCCATGTGTTATTATACCATGACACCGAAATAACATGTCTATGTGTTATATTACAGTGGTATAACACATGGGGAATATTCATATTCCCCATGTGTTATACCTCAGCGGAATAACAAGATGAGACGTTATTGGTGGCGGAATAACACATTTTTACGTTATAGGCGGCAGTTTAACCGCAAAATTAGGTAAATATATAAGTAAAGTATAAATTTATAAAAATAATATATCAATTTATATAAGTAATATATAAGTTAAGTAATATAACACAAGATTTTTTTATAAATAATGCGTTATTATATACTGTGACAGCGAAATAACACGTCTATGTGTTATATTACGGTGGTATCAAACAAGGAGAATATTTCCCAAGGAGAATATTCCCCATGTGTTAAACCACGGTAACACATGGGGAATATTTCTCATGTGTTATACCTCAGCGGAATAACAAGGGGAGGCGTTATTGACGGCTGTAATTACACCGACGGCTGAAATAACACGTTTTTGCGTTATAGACGACGGTTTAACCGCAAAATATATAAATTAAGTATAAATTTATAAGAGTAATATATCAATTTATATAAGTAATGTATAAATTAAGTAATATATCACGGTATATGTGTGTTATTATATATATTAAGTAATATATGTAATAAATTAAGTATAAATTTATAAATTTATATAAGTAATAAATCCAATATTAATAAAACCGCAAAATTAAGTTATATACGGTCATGGCATCAACATTATTAAATTTGTACTATATCAATTTAAATAAATTAAGTATTAAACACAAGCATGCGTTATTGAATTAGCAATATAAAAACTTATATTAGTTACGTAATAACATGAACTTGATAATATTACAAATAATACAAATATATGAAATACATGGACTCGATAATGTTACAAATAATACAAATATATGAATTACATGGACTCGATAATATTACAAATATAAATCACTTATTGAATCCATCAACAGTTGGGTATATCCTTGTGTTGGTTGTGATGCATCATATTCCTGAAGAAATTGAGATATTAAAATGAAATATAAATGCTAATTCCAGTGACTTATATGATACCGAGTTACAGTTATATACCCGACTGAGATAATCTGACATTTAAAATAAATTTGCCTCAGATGGTATACCGAGATCTTGGCTTATTGATGCTTCTTGATATTTTTTTATATACAATGATTTAGGTTAGAGAAAGACAATCATACAATAACTAAAATATCTTATACTATTGAAATATATACTTTTCTGGTTCTTATTTTTCACCCAATACCCTTTCCACATAGATGTAGAAACTTCTTTCAGCCTCATTTTTTGTCGGGTCATCCAAATTGACTTGGGCATTTGGTCTTTTTGTCTTTTTTAATTTTTTATTTATTTGAGGTGGTTTTCCAGCTAATGCGTCATTAATATTTGTAGATAGATGTTTAAATGTTTCCCAAAGCATCTGCTCAGTTGTTTCATTTTCCTGTGCTTTATTAATGAGTTGGTATGCAAATTTGTGAGAGTGTGAGCGAAATAGTAGACAATTTGCTGAACCACTGCTCTTTTGGGATTCCTTCAAATGTTTGTAGCCAATGTTGTTATACATGTTCCTTTTAGCGTGAACAGGCCATCATATTAAGAAATATTTCTGGGGAATTATCTTTATTTGCGCTACATTAAGCACATAAAGTAAGTGAGAACATAATATCCCCATCATTTCAAACTTTTTGCAAGTACAAGTGAGCTCAGAATTGACTTTGTCAAGTTTCACATTCCAGTGCTTGTTTGCTCCTTAGTTATCCAAATTCCCTACAATATATTCCAAGTCATTTTCTGGAAGGCATTCAATTGTCAGTCCACAGAGCCCATCTAATAACTGTTGCTGGAACACAAAGTAAAGCTTTCTCGAATAAAAGGTTGCAGCTTTCCTAAAAAATGGATTGCCTTTTACCACTGGTGTAATGACCGATTGATCACTTTTAAAATCCTCATCCTTTTCATTTCGGCGCCATGATTTCATAATATTTTCAAGACCAACAAAAAAATCCATGAGAGAGCTAGTGGGAAACACCGTGACAAATATTATTTGTTGACTCACTTCGTTGTGTTGATAATATTCTCATGTCAAATATTTCTTTATTGAAGGTTGTGGACCATTTATGTCTGATCTTGTACATGTCCTTTAACCAAATGTTGTTGTGGAGGTTCCCCTTCTCAATCATTGTGGCCCAAATTTTATCAAATTCCCCTTCGTATCACACTTGCTCATGCATTTGTAAAAGAGATCGCCCACATTCTTGACACCCAAAGGACAATGCACTTTTGAAGGAAATTTCTTATATATATGTCATTGGCATAACCTGTGTCGTGTCTGTGGGAGACAATCTTCAATGGCTCCAGCCATCACTTGATCCTGATCTGTGAAAATTGTCATTGGATACTTGTCACCCATTATTCGATAAATGTTTGGAATAATCAACTGAAGGTACCACTGGTCTCATTCAACAAAAAACCCACTCCAAAGAGAACATTTTGTCAATGGTGGTTCACCCCCACGAACCGAGCACAATATAAATTATACTCATTTAATCGATAGCTTGTATAAAAAGTTATTACGTCACCAAAAAATCATAATCAAGCCTGGATAACCGGTCGCTCCAGAAAAAGCTTGTGAGTTTGCCACGCTCATCAGTTTCAAAATCTCAAGCAAACATTGTATCCTCAACTTCCCTCTCCATGAACAACTGTGTTAGCGCATTAACATCTCCTTGCTCTATTCTTTCCCTTCTTTCTCTTTGAATAAAATTGTATGCATCTCTTTTCATGCGTTCTAGGTTCTCGACCCCCAACCTCCATGGCCATAAAGTTATATGCATCTGTTGCTCTAAACCCTGCTCCTGACATTGATCTAAGAAAATATGCATTTAACTCACTTTCTGCTAGAACACAAAAGATGCTTATCACCACTTTTGGTAAGAGGGTGGTTATGAATTTCAATAAAATTCTTAAAAGTCCAATTTTCTTTAACATCGATGTCATATCTAACCATGACTTGACATCCAGTCATTGTGTCACCTTTTCCAAACTTCATAGCATCTATCAGGCTTGACTCTTTCTTGTGGCCAGCCTTTCCGCAAATAAAATCTTTAGTTTTAATCTTCTTCGAATTTGGCCAATAGCTGCTATGGTTGTTTCTAACAGAAAAGCCTACATGATGTGCATAAGCACAATAGCATTCATATGCTTCTTGATCATTGTGCACAGCGGTACGAAGAAACGTCTCTGCGATTGGATCATTGCACTACACATCACCACCCCATTTTAAAAATAGTCAGATAGATATAAGACAAACAATAACAACACAATAACAATACAAAAACTATACAATAATATCACCATAACACTACAAACACTATACAATAACATCACCATAACACTGACACCACTACAATAATTCAATCCCTAAATAATAACGCCACTGTAACACTAGAAAAAGTAAACAATAACATCACATAACACCTCAGTATCACGACAGTAACACGACAAAAATACCTAAATAATACAACAATAACACTACTAGGACAATACAATCAATAAACTCTAAACGATAACACACTACACCCTAAGCTCTGACAATAACACAATTATAACACTAGAAAAACTTAACTTTAACATCACATAACACTTAAATAACACGACAATAACATGAGAATAATACAATAATATTACAAAGATAACATTACTAGAACAATACAATCCCTAAACCCTAAACCATAACTATGACACCACTATAACACTAGCAAAACTAAACCTAAACATCACATAACACCTCAATAGCACGATAATAACACAACAATAATGCAAAAAAAATACAACAATAACACAATACAACAAGAACACCACTACTACAAAATAATTCCTAAACTTTAAATGATAACACTAGACCCTAAACCATAACAATAACACCACTATAACACTAGAAAAACTAAACTATAACACCACATAACAACTTAATAAAACAACAATAATACAACTCAAAATCATAAATAAAACAAGCAAAAAAAAAAACACAACCTTAACACTATAATAATCCTCAAATCTAAACTAAAACAACAAACTTAAACACAAAAAATAACACTATGCTAACTATAAACTAAAACAACCCACTTAACAATGCAATGCAACATTAAAATAAACCCTAAACTAAAGCAAACTCACTTTTGGTTTAAGCTTCTTCTCATTATTTAATGATTCCATTTCGTCTCCGGAGAAATCCAACGCACCAGCTTGATGGAATTCTCTTGTTTTGGATTGGCGGCGGCATAAAGTGGGACACTATGACTTTTTGGTGGGATTCTATACGACAAAATGTCACTTTTTCTAGCCTGAAGTGGGGCCGGGTTTCGGATGGGCCCAGTTGCCTATCTTAATTAATTTATTTTAGGGCCCGTTTGGGGCAGCTTATAAGTGCGGCGACGCTTTTGAAAACACAGCCTAACCATTTGGTTTGTGCGTTTTTGAAAACGTTGTCTGCCGCATTTGGATTTTTTACACTAAACGCAGGTCGTGGGTCGACCCTCGCGGTTGACCTGCGGGCCACGTTTGAGAATAAATTATTTATCTTAAAACGCACAAACTGCCCCCAAACCCAAAATGCCCAAACAGACCTTAAGCGAGCTTGTATTCTTGCATTCGACTCCCGTTCAACTCTGGCAGCGGTCTCCGGATGAAATAAGCGCTCGATCGAAAAAGGCTCATTTACAGCCGCCATGGGCAATGGTCGTCTTCCATGCGCTCCTTTATAACGGATCGCAACTGCGCCGAGGCCGCGGAACCGTGGACCCGTCGTATTGAGGAGAACGGGAGCTAACTAGAGAGAGAAAAAAGAGATGAAGAAGGAGGAGACGGTGAAGCTCATCAGCGCCGAGGGCTTCGAGTTTGTTGTCGACAAGAAAGCTGCCATGGTCTCCCACACGATCCGCAATATGCTCACTTCTCCAGGTATCTTCTCCTTCTTCTTGGAAAATTAATTCGGGTTAGGGTTCTGATTTTCTGACTTTGGCTTCTTTCGATCTCGTATGATAGGTAGTTTCGCGGAGACGCAGCACGGCGAGGTTACTTTCCCAGAGATTAGTACTCCAATTCTGGAGAAGATCTGCCAATATTTCTATTGGTCGCTTCAATTTGCCAGGTACCTGTTCATCATCTTCTTATTTTTCATAATTTTCTTTCTGAACTGCAATTTCATATACCTTAAAATTAACTAGACCTGGAGACTGGTTAAGCAGAATGGTTTTTCTTATTTTCTGATTAAGTTGGGATGCTCAAGTTTCTCCTCGTACCGTACATTCAAAATGTAATTATAATACCTATCATATACAGTAGGAAGTCTTTGTTTCTGAAATACAGAATCCCCAAGTTTTATTTTTTTTCCTCCTCGTGAGTTTCTTATGTTGATTGTAGAGGTGTTAATTGAGAATGACTTTTATGATTAAGTTATTGCATTGTCACTTATGCTTTGGCTTTTTTACCTATATTCCTCTTAATAATGCGGTTATAAATTGAATATTTCACAAGAATAGTTTGTTATTACGTTGCCATGGGTTTACCTTGCCCTTTTAAAATGTCATTAATAAAAGGAAGACAAGGGAATATTGCTCTTTTCAGTAATTTTATTGAAAGACATTGCTCATTCTAATTCAAACATTCTATCTCAGTAAGTTATGTAACATTGCCTTTATTTTTTTAGTTTTGATAGTCATGTACATTTTGTATTTTGGATTCCTTATCATGCTTTTTGTTAGCATTTAAAATCTTTGTACATATTACATTACTACAGCCATAGATTAACTATTAAGGTTGTACTTCTACGGTTATGACTTTATGGACCTCATTGATTTGGGTGTGAGCCATTAAAGTGCTTGATGCTCATAATTTGGTCATTAATTGCTTCAAAATTAATTTAGTTTGTACCAATTCAAATCAATTAAATCAATAATCTACAAGTTTAACTTAGTTATTTCAAGCAAAGGGAAGATACTTTGGAATAAATAACTTCAAATTATTGCATTTTGATTAAATTTTATTTGATTTGTATTAGTTTTTAGATTACTTGGTCATCCATCATCATGTACATTAATATTCTTAGTTTAGCTCTTATTTCTACTTAATTGGACAAATTTTATGGCTTGAATTGAAATTGAAGTCAAAGCGATAAATAATTTTTTTTTCTCAATTTCCAATCCTATTAAATCCAAATCTGACTCAAGGTTGAATTAACTTGATAAGCATATCTCAAGAAATAAACTTAAAGGATAAGTGCTTTGAAGCTCTTAATTTAATAAATGTGGCTATTGCCATCCATCAGAAGGCTGAAAGATAATTATGGCTGTTTTTTAGTGTGTGTGTCTGTATCTATAACTATATATTTATAATATATATATATGTATGTATGTATGAATGATTAAAATGAAGAAATGCCTCATATGTTTTGTACGATATGAGTATGTCTTGTAGATTTAAGTATAAATTTAAGAAAACCATAATTAGGCCATCAATATTGTATAAACTCAAATATTGGGCTGTAAAAATGTTATTAATATTTAGGTTTAGTGCGGTAGATATGAGAATGTTAAGATGAATTCATAGCAAATTTTGTAATGATATATTAAGAAACAATTCTATGAAAGGAGATGTTGAGGTGAGATTTCTTAACGACATGATGATTGAAAATAAACTCAGGTTTCTTGGACATCTACAATGAAGTGTAATAAGTATGTCCATTAGATGAGTAAACAAATCATTTCAATGAATCAGGAAGTAGAAGTGCTAAGACTTGGGACTACTTGAATAGAAGTTTTTTAGAATAATTCATATTGAATAGATTTAAAAATTTAGAAATCACTCCACAGGAGTGAATGAAAATGAGGGCTTATAATGTTGATCCAACATAGTTGGGATGAGGTTAATGATGATGGTATGATAATTAAAATTGTGCATTAGTTAGTCAAAGTAGAAAAAATAGTCGACTTGAACTTATTTGGTTAATTCAACTCAATTTTTATCAGTAATTGGGTCAGTATTGACCTTCATTAAATCAAAGAACAAATTTATCGATGTAGAAATTCACATTAGAGGAGTCGTATATATGTATTGGTCATTGGAGATCAAGGATTCAAGACTTGAGTGATGAGACATGCTAGGAATTTCCTCTTTTTTGAATTTTACTGTAATAACTAATAAATAAATAAATAAAATTAATAATGTTATTATTATTAGAAATTTTAACCAATGCACTCATTTTGAGTGAGAAATTAATGCCTAAACTATTTCATTTTAAAGAGAAGTATCCCATTCAAAGTGAAGAAGGAGACTCAGAGTGATCAAGAGTGAGAGGAGGAGGGAGGAGGAGGGAGACTTACATGTGAGGAACGAAGCCGAACGAGGCGACGTCGTAGTCCAGGTGAAGGAAGCAAGGCAACTTTGGCATTTTCCAAGTAGGGGAAGACCAACCCTAGCCGAATGGAGGAGTGGCGTGTGCATAGATGCGACATCGTTCTGTGCCGAGGCGTCAAGGTGAGTCATGCGAAGAAGACAGAAGATAGAAGCATTGAGAAACTTGAGGCTTCAGTGAAAGAGAGCCCGTTCCCTTACTAATCAAAGGAATAAGCGACGAGCGACTCGGTGTAAAGGAGGTGAAGAAGGGAGCAGCTCTGTGTGGGATAAATTATGTCGAACCAAAGATGAAGGAGAAGAGAAAGGGAAGAATGGACGAACAAGAGTTGAAGCCAAAGGCGTCAAAGCACTAGAACAGAAGTATCGAGTGACTCGTGCTTTGATCGTGAGCAGGGTTTGGCATATGTTCGGGTAAATGTCTAAATCAAGGTATAAGGCTAGGATTTGATTTATTTTTTTATGTATTTAAGTTTTATTTTTGTATTAAATTGAATTTATATAAAAATTTTAATGCATTTTCTTATGCAAAAGAAAATCAGAAAATAATAAAACGAAAAGAAATTTAAATCTCGGAGTTAATGTTAAATTTAATGAATTTAATGTGAATTAACATTATAATAATTATTATTATATAATACATGTAAAATAAAAAAAGAGAAAAAAATATCTTCTAATAATAAAATTAAAATATAATTATCTAATAAAAAAAAGAGAAAAAAATATCTTCTAATAATAAAATTAAAATATAATTATCTAATAATAATTCTTTATGCATTTAACTATAGGTTCTTAGAGATAGTGAAGAGAATGATTAGCAAAAGAATCATCAGTGATTTTAGTAAGTATTTATGTTCTTATGCTATAATAATTTTTTTATTATATACCAAATGTGTTTTTTTTTACTGTCACTAGTTATGTTGAAATCACAACAAATTCATGATTTATGATTCTATCTACTTTTTATTCATAGTGTAGAAATTATATATGTACTCAATATTTTTTAAATTGTCATAAATATTGAATGTTATACAAACCTATTGACTCTTATATAAATCAAAATGAAACAATCATTATTAGAAAATGATTTTATAATATATTTGCATGTACATGCTTCATTATGATTGTGTTCACCCATTTATGATACCAGCGAAAAAATGTTAAAATACCCGTGCACATAAATGAAAAAAAGTATTGGTATTAAAGCGTCTTAATTGACATAATTTTAGATGATGTTCATGTGACGGTTGTACAGAATTAAGATATGTTACAGATATGGTAAAATACATTGAATGTTATGAATTATCTTAAAAATTATATCTGAAAAAGTAAACTTTTAACTATTTTTGTATTGATTTATAGTATCTTTGACTAGTATGCATATCTCTTTCTTTTTGTTATATTTTTATGGTTTATCAGTATGAATATTCACTAGCTATGACTAGCTTACTATTATTTAAAATTAACATTTTTCAAGTCTAATTATTTAATTAAATGATGAATAATAGATGATAAAATATTTGTAGATGTTGACAATTAGAAATGAGGTAAATTTAGTTGTATTTCTTTAATTTATTTTTTTTGTGACAATTTTATTTGTTAAATGTTAGTTATAGATGATGAATATGAAAAAAGTTTAATTTACACTGTCTGACCGTTTATATTTGTCGTAGTGAAGTCCAAGTCCCGGGCTAGGACGTGATAAAAGTGGTGTCAGAGAAGGTTTTTGATTAATTAATGTAATCTTGATGAAAGAGTCAATACGATAATTACAAAGTAATTAATATTAATAAAATTGAAAATTTAAGTTGACTTTAAGTAACATACTATGTTATATGTTAATTCTTGCCCCCGAGATTACAGAAAGAAGGGAGCCTAGTTAAAAATGAAGAAGTACCACCTATTATAAGACCAATACCCTGACCCAGATGATGATGACGATGACAGTTTATTCAGAAGTTCATACTAGAGTTCGGTGAGAATGAGACAGTTGCTTTGGATAAGTACCTAAAAATATTGCAAGATTTGTGTCTTCCATTATTTAAGAGAACTAAATATTCTATTTAAGTGGAGAAATGCATATTTGAGAAAATATTAGATAATATGGCCTATCTGAATAAAAAAAGAGCATTATTAGCTACATTTGTGCTAGATTGAGAAGAAGAAAAGTGGTGGTGTTGGCAGCGTCAGGATAGATTGGGAGATGAACTCAATATAATGGTAAGTTGAGAGGATTTTGTAAAGTTTTTCACATGTTGGCTTGTACTCTTATTCACTCGAAGACCGATGCAAGATAAATTCATTAAGTTAGTGTAATGAGAGAATAAAATAATGCATTATGAATTAGAGGTCACCGAATTGTCAAGGTAAGCCCTACAACTATTATCTATTGCAAAAGAGAAGTGTTGCAAATTCTTTTCTAGATTGAAGGATTCAATCAGATAGCTGTTGGTGCCATTGAGAATTGATGACTACTCAGCGTTGATAGTGGGATAGATGAGTGGAAATCGATTATTAGCTCACCAAAAGCATAAAGATATACATAAGAGGAAGAATATTGATTAGGGAGAGCATGTGAATTAATCAGAGGGATCCATTGGGAAGAAGCCAAAGTCCAGCTCAACTGGATTTAGTTGAGATATGACTCAGAGTATTGTAGTCACTTGTGTTAAATATGAAAGACAACATAAGGGTGAATGTTTGATGTGCTCTACCACATACTATTGGTGCTTTCAGCCTTGTCACGTAGCTGGATACTGATCTTCACTTGGCCAAAAAATCTTGGAAGAACAGAAACCAGCTGGAGCTCTTTCTTGGAGGAC